TACTTTGTAAGATTCACTTCTAGAAATATGAAGTATAAAATTCACCCCAAGCAACTAGGCATTGGGCAAAGCTGTGGGGGTGGAGGTAGGAAATTCCTCTCTTGTCCTGGCTTTTCCTAAAGAAAACGTGTCCCAGTGACCGATTTCCTCCTTGTTATAAAGAAGGAAACGCTCTAGAGATGTAACGCGTTGGCAGAGCAAGGCAGAATGGCCCTCACGGTGGATGAGCACACATGGCCAGTGCACAATGGTCACTAAGGTAAGAGGCTGTAAAATACACATTGTTGAACCAAAGAGTCTCCCTTTCCAAAAACAGCATTAAAACCTGCAAACAGAATGGATTTTTGAGATGGCGAGCTGCTGCTCTGCTGCACCCATGTGCAAGAGCACACGCCCAAAGCTGCAGATGTAAACCATGGCAGATTTATGAAAGCAGTAATTGCAAGCAGGCTTTCAAAGGCGCCGTGGGGAGGCTGTCTGCAGAAGGGAGCTGCTGGTGGAGCTGCTCAGCGGGGATCCCGCAGGTGCCGGGACAAGGGAGCTGGGACGTGCGCTGGGTGCCTGAGCGCCGGGTCCCTCCTGCCCGGGCGCTCTCATGCCCCGCTCCACGGAAAGAGCAATGCTATTACAAGTATCACAAGAAAAATATTTTAAACTACTTTTCGTTCTTTACTAGAAAAATAAACACTATTCATGTATTTCAGATGTATCCTAAGTAGCAATATATCATCTAAAATTCCCATAATAGAGCATGATGATATACTTTTTATGCACATACCATATCTTCCATACCAAAATGCTTGCTTCCTACTGGATTTGGCCTCTAGAAAGCATTCTGACATCACTTACCAATTATATGAAAATTATGTTAAAATGTTCTAGGGAATAACACATAATAAGCAATACATGCTACAAAATTGGAAAGAAATAACTGCTGATTGTGAATTTTGCTTTTCAAGAGCCACCACAACATCAGCTTTGTGGCCACAGCGGGGCTCGTTTTGGTTTGTCTTAGGTGTTTTGAGTAACCTACTGCTATAATTGCCTGCTATATGCAGAATAAAACCATTTTCTTCACCTCAGCTGCATCTACCTACATGAGATGTAGATGATGCACATTTATAGTCAGATTTAAATTCACACCAAGACTTTTTATGTGCAACAGAGAGCAGTGCTGAACACGTGGCCCAGAGCTCCAGCTCCACTCCTGGTCCTCGACCTGGGTGGTTCTTTGGGTCTCGCAGGGCCCCAGCACCTCTGCCTTTGTGCTCCTGATGTGCTGCTAATAACTGGGGATTTGCACTGACAATTAATTTAAATTGGGTTGCTAGGGGCGAGATGAATAGCTCTCATCGCTGCCCGAGCCAGTATGCCAAAAAGCAAAACATGAGGAGAATAGATAAAAGTAACGTAGCCTCCTGTGGTGTAAGTGTGCGAACCGAAGCCGTGTTGCCTTCTGCCGTTTGCTGGATAGTCCAGTTGTCAGGAGCAGTTTCCCTCTGCTTAGGCCATGAGGCTGCAGAGACGGGTGGATGGAAACGGTTAAAACCGGCGGTGCCTTTGTTGGTATCGCAGCGGCGCGCGGGTCGCTGACCGTGAAAGGCGACGGAGCTGCTAAGTGGGTCAGCGGGGCCGCGCGCGGCACGGCACGGCACGGGGCTGCCGGGACGCCGGGGACGCCGGGCGCTCCCCAAGGGGCTCCCGAAGGCGCCGCGGCCCCAAGGATGTGCGGCCAGAGCAGCGTCCGCACGGCCCGGCGCCCGCCACGGCCCGCGCCGCCTCGCTCGCCTTCAGGGGCTTGTCTGTTTCACAAGGAAAAGAACAGGTTTTTCCAAAGCAGCAGGGTTTTCACTGCAAAAAATACACCTGCAGAATGGGAAATGCCAAATGAAAACAGCAAGTCACCAGTCCAGGGGCAATCTGAGCACGCTGCATTGCAGTCAAATAGTCTTTGCCCATGGTAGGAATGCTGCCTTTCCATGAATTGGCCAGAAAAAAGACTGGCCTTAATTGCTCACTGCAGAGATACCTGAGGCTGATGACTGGTTTTGTTGCCACCAAAGCCACTTGACCATGGTGTTAAACGTGGTCACAGTGCCAAGTATTCCCTGCTGATTGGCAGCTCCACGGGTGCCCGGAGCTGCATGAGGGTGAACGGAGCTTTTTGCTCAGTAGGGGAACTGCGTGCATGGTCTTGAGCCACTTGTGGGGCTCAGGCAGTCAGGGATTAGCAGAAAAGAGCAGAAAAGACTAGCAGAAAAGAGCATAAAATACCAGCCTGCAATAAGAGTAGGGGTTGGAAATGCCATAAACGTCCTCATTTGCTTCTTTGTTCTGGGTCATGCTGCGCATGGACCTTATGCTAGAGGAAGGGAAAGGCAGATAGGAAGCTGTGCCTGGTGGATTCTTCTTAGCATGGAAGTGGAATTCCACATTTTCCTTCATAGCATCAACCTAAACTGGGGAGATAGGAAGGAATTTGTCTTCACGTGTGAGTGATGAAACTTACATTTTCCATAGTGAGAGGGGCCCTAACTTCTAATGTTTGTGGGGTTTATATAAGAGCTCTCTGAAGTCACCGTTTCTCATGGAATGTGATGGAGCATCCCATCGGAGACGGCTTTACTGTCCTGCTTGTGAGCTACTGGGTTTCTTAGACAGCAAAGGACGCTCTTCATGCCCTTCCCCGCTGCGTGTGTCTCAGGAAGGACAGAGCCACTTGGGCTGATTGTCTGTGGTCTGAACTAATTTAATCACAAAGAAACACTGGGTTGAGGCTGCAGGTGAGCAGTGACATGGGATGGCAGCTCCCACACACCTGAGGGCCTTGGCTTAGGCTTTCGGCGTTAGTGTAGCAGGAGCAGCAGCCGCAGCAGCCGCAGGAGCAGCAGCAGGAGCAGCAGCCGCAGGAGCAGCAGCAGGAGCAGGAGCAGGAGCAGGAGCAGCAGCCGCAGCAGCCGCAGGAGCAGCAGCAGGAGCAGCAGCCGCAGGAGCAGGAGCAGCAGCAGGAGCAGGAGCAGCAGCCGCAGGAGCAGCAGCCGCAGCAGCCGCAGGAGCAGCAGCAGGAGCAGCAGCCGCAGCAGGAGCAGCAGCTGCAGGAGCTGCAGCAGCGGCAGCCGCGCAGGCCCCGGTGCTGCTCGCTGCCCGCGGCAGAGGAGCCGCTGCGGCTCTTTCCCCATGTGTGCAGCAAGGGCGCCGAGTGCGGGCTGAGGGCCAGGGGCTCAGGGAAGCGGTGCTGGGAAGAGGGCGGGCAGAAGGGGATGCCGGCGTGGCCGGGACACCAGAGCCGCTCGCCCGTGTCCCCGGCTCGCTCGGCTGCTGTCAGCGCAGCCCTGCGGGCCGGAGATGGGGCCTCGGCGCTCGCTGCCTCCCGGCTCCGCACGCAGCCGTCAAGGTTGGCGGCGGTGACGCAGGGTGACACCGGCGCGCCGTGCCGGGTGCCGCGCCACTCCCGCTCGCTTCGCATTACCAAGAGCTCAGTCAAACATCAGCTGCACTGGCGCTGCTGCTGCGGCTGGCGCGGCGCGCTGCCGGGCGCCTGCCGCGTCACCAGCCCTTGGCTCGGCGCCGCTGCCACCAGCTCAGGCTTTCCCGCCTGTAAACAGCCTTACGCCTTTTACGCCTGCTCCCTGTTTTTGTTCCTGGAGAAGTGAGCCCTCCTAGAGCATGCAGACCAACTACTAATGCTGTTTATGGCTGCTTCAAGCAATACTACCATATACTTAAAACAAGGAGATTTCACCTTGCTGCCCAAGCCCCTACTCAGTAGCTGCTCCTCAGATGGGGCATGCTGTGTTTTCCCAGCTGTAGTGTGTAGACAATATTTCCTCACATTTTTATTACTTATTTTTAATTTTCCTCGAGGTGTTTGGTCTATCCTATCATCATGTACTCAGATACAAAAAGATCTATTTTGCATTAACTAGCAAAACAGAAGTTCCTAAGTGCAGGCTGCATAAGCAGAATAAGATACTACAAAGCTGCTGACTGAGCTGTCTGGATAAAGGCCTGTGTGTTTTAGTTGCCTCTCATTTTTCCTTGGAAAATGTTCAGTTTTCCCAAGAAATTGTAAAATATGCCATTAGGTGACTAGTGGTATCTGTTTCTCCGAGCCATATGGTGGCTTATGGTGCTAATGCGTGCCTGGGTGCTGGGTGTCGGGCAGAGGGACCATCTGCCGTGTGTTGGTTGGGGCAGCGTGACCCGCATGTCCCGGTACCGCGAGTGCAGCAGTAGCAAGATCATGGGAGAAGGCACTTCCCAGCCCAGCACGGGCAGCTTGGGAAACTCATCCTACATCCCTTTAGCTTCCTTGTATGTATATATGCACCTGCGTGCATGTATTTGATTTCTCTGGGTCCTGTGTCCTTTTTAGGGTTTGTTTATTAAATCCCTCCGGGTTGTTTTGCCTAATGGGCAGTGCAGCTCCCTCCTCAATCCTGTCTGGGAAGAGCTCCCTGGGTTTGGACATGGGGACAAAGTCACATCTACTGGAGAGCAGATGCTGTGACAAAATGAGGCCTTCAGCATCTTCATCTGCTTCATCAGTTCTTCTCATTAGTCGGTTGATCTAGAAATGCAGCTAGATTGGTCTTAGCTCTTTTGCTCCTTAACTTCTGCCAGGACAGTAAGCGGCAGCACCTCTGTGGGGTCGGGAGCGCGGGGCCCGTTGGCTGCTGCCGCCGGCGCAGCAGCCGGGGCCGTCCCGTCCCCGGGCCGCGGCTCCTGCCCCGCGCCGCCAGCCGCGCCGGGCGCCGCGGGCTGCACGGCACGGGCTGCACGGCACGGGCTGCAGAGCACCTCTGCTACGTGTCTTCTCAGAGCACAGAGAGCAGCTCTGCAAGCCCTCTATGTAAATGTGTGCACTAACTGTAGGACTCCTTGGGAACGTCTAACACAATCACACAATCCCAGGGAACAGAAAGAACAGGGACTAAAAGTCGCGTGTTGGACGAAGAACCTCATTTGCCATTAATCCTTATGTTTGTCTTATCCTGCAGGTATCTACACCACTTCCAAATCTGTGCTGATTTTATAAATGAAGCTAAGAAGAAAATCCCTAGTACTGAATATCTAAAAAATCCTTGGATATCTGTTTATCGATGTGTGTTGTAAAATGAACATTGTAAATGGTGAAGGGAGATGAACTACTAAGGTGTAAGAAAATGAATGAAAAGCTCATGAAATTGTTATATTTGTACTGAAGTAGTAAGCTAAAACATTTTAAATCAAAGGTTATGAATTTTGATATCAGCATATGACTATATGATAAAAGTAATTTAATTAATCCTGATTCTACCAGATCAAAATACTAATACTGGAATTCCATAGAAGAGCTAATGTTTGACTTTTGCACTTCCTACTTACAACATTGTTAAACTCTAAAGGTCCGTTTTTGAGTTCTGCCAAAATCCTGAATGTCTTATGACACTTTATTACCTGGGACAAGAGCAAGCAGTACTGTGCCCGTCTTCAACCCCAGGAATTACCCAACTGCTATGAGGAAATGGCTGGGTTGAAACGCGATGATCAGACTATGCTGGCATCTATCAAAATGCCTTAAACTAAATGCCTGAATCTAGAGAGCTCACGTTCCAGGAGCACCTAGGACCTGAGATGCTGCTATGGTGGGAATATGGGTGGAGAGAGTCCAGCGCAGGGCTATGAGGATGATCAGGGGCCCGGAACGTCTGCCCTGTGAGCACAGGCTGAGGGAGCTGCGCCTGCTCAGCCCGGAGAGGAGAAGGCTGAGGGGGGACCTGAGCAGTGTCTAGAAATACCCCAAGGGAGGCAGTGAGGAGGAGGGGGCGGCCTCTTTTCAGTGGTGGCCAGCGACAGGACTAGAGGAAACGGCCACAAGCTGAGGCACCAAAAGTTCCACAGGAACTTGAGAAAACACTTCTTGACAGTGAGGGCGACAGCCCTGGCACAGGCTGCCCAGAGAGGCTGTGGAGCCTCCTTCTTTGGAGATCTTTACAACCTGCTGGACGCAGCCCTGTGTCCCGTGCTCTGGGTGACCCTGCGTGAGCAGGGGGTTGGACTAGATGACCTCTGAGGTCCCTTCCAACCTTGGGCATTCTGTGATTCTATGAATATGCATGATATTCGATGCACTGCTTAGGGCTTTAAAAAGAGAACATTTTCATACTTGCTTGGGTGCATTTCATTTTTTATTTCATCTGGCCACCCTGTGGCTGTATTCTGGCCAATTTGGTTCTGCTTCCCCATTATTAGACTTTCTTAATCACTGTTTTTTTCTTTTTTAGTAAAAATTTAACTGTACAGGACAGATAAGTATGTAAATAGGTGATTATGCTTATGTATATATTCATATTTATATGTAAAAAGGATATGTACATAGGAAAGAGAAAATGTCTCAAAGAATGTTTTAAACAACATTTATTTCTTACAAATACCCAGACAGAAAACTTGCCCGAATGCGCTGCTTGATCCGACACGGGGGCCTCCCCCCCGGCTGTCGGGCAGCGTGTGGGGACTTGGGGTCCGGCCGTGCCGGCACCTCCAGCCATGCAGCTCCCGCGCGGGCGCCCGCTCCTCGTGCGCCCCGGGGCGCCCCGGGCGCCTTACCCGGCCGGGCAGCCCGAGACACCCGCGGTGCCCAAACGCGGTGCCCGCGCGCTGCACCTTGCTGTGGTACCCAAACCCTGCCCTGCCCGTGGGCCCAGTGCAGTCAGGAGGGAGCTGGGGCGTTGTGAGGAGGCAGCCTAATCCAGCTGCGCATTGGAGCATTGTACACTTTATAAAAAGGAACTATTGTAAATTTATGCAAAATAGAAACAAGACAAAATGTTTTTTCCAGAGGCCGCTGTGCCGTGACTTCCTTGTGCCCTCTGATATGGTCTCCTACTACCCTACCCAAAATGTGTAACGTTTGGTTCCGTACTGAAGCAGTAACCGACACGCCTGGGGCAGGGCCGGACACTGATCGGTTACAGAATTTTACACATATTTTTGTATCGTGATTCATATGATATATATGGAGAGACTTTCTATTCATTTGTAAAATACATAGATTATTGTAAACTTTTAATAAAAGAACTGTTTTAAACCTTCAAAATAGAGCGGTTTTGCTGGGACGCGGGCGCCGTCGCGGGGGGCTCCCGCTCGGCTGCGCGGGCCGATCCCGACCCGGCCCGGCCCGGCCCGGCCCGCGGGCCGCGCGCGGAGCCGCCGCCTCGGGCTGCGGGGGGGCGCGGGGCGGGACGGGGCGGAGCGGAGCGGAGCGCGCGGAGCCGCCGCAACCCGCGACGCCAGGCGGGAGCCGCGCGGGACGGTCCGGGTGGCGGTCGTGGTACCGGTACCGGATCACGGTCCTGGTGCCGGTCTCAGTCCCGGTCTCGGTGCCGGTGCCGATGGCGGCGCGGCGGGAAGAGCCGCTCCCCGCCTGCTTCGCGGGCCTGGGCGCGGGCAGCCCGCGGCCGCGGCAGAAGCGCGGCGGGATGTTCTGCAGCGTGGCCGACGCCTTCGACAGCAAAACCCTGGACCTGGCCTCGCTGCGCGGCGGCGCCGACGGCTCCGGCGGCGCCCGCAGCGCCCCGGCCCCGAGCCCAGCCCTGACCGCGAGCCCGACTCCCACAGAGGCTGCGAGCCCCGCGCCGAGCTCACCCCCGGCTCCCAGCCCGGCCCCGGCCCCCGAGGTGCCCGCGGGGCTGCCCGGCGGCGGGGAGCAGGTACGGGGGGACACGCGCCGTCCCTCGGGCGGCACTCGGCGCAGGCAGCGGGGCAGCTGCCCCCGGTCCTCTGGGTCCCCGCGGGTGCCGGGACGGCCGGACCCGGCAGCGCAGAGCGGCCCCGGCCCGGGCGCT